AGCATTCCAAAAGGGTAGAGGCCTCCAAACGGCTTCCGACAGCGTCAGACGGATCAGGAGCCCACCAAGACGGCGGAACATGGCCCTAAGATGGCCCAAGACGGCCCAAGAGGCCGCCAAGAGGGCCTCCAGGAAGGCACGAAAAGGCCAACATCATTGATTTCCCATGGGTTTTTGAAGGATTGTGGCATTTGTTTTTTTTTCTGCCTTCCGACGGCCCGAGACGGCCCAAGTGCCCCCGAAGATCGCCTAAGAGGCCCCCAAGACGGCCCAAGAGGTCTCCAAGACGCTCAAGATGGCCTCCAAGACGGCCCAAGAGCCCTCCAAGACGTCCTCCAAGAAGGCCCGAAAGAGTCAAAATGGCCTCCAGACGCCCAAGATGACCTTCAAGATGCCCACGTGATTCCCGAAGGCTTTCCAAACCGATTCGGGGAACACATGGTCTGATAGCTTGGCAGGTCTGGCCTCAACGTTCGGCCACATAGGCGCTTCCAAAAAGGCAGGGGGCGGCAGTGATTCGCCGTAGGCGTCTTCGATCCGCCGCCCCCTGTTGGCTTGCCACAGGGGTGCCTGGCGTGCTAGATCCTTTCGGTTTTGGATCTCTTTCCAAAAGAACTCCCCTTGGGGCTTCGGCCCGTCCCGCCGGGGTCCCCGAAGGGAGCTCAATCCCCAATGTTTCCTCCAGGACGGCTCAAGATGGCCTCCAAAATGGTCACGTTGACCCAAGATGGCCACCAAGATGGTGCAAGATGGCCTCCAAGTCCGCCAAAGATGATCCAAGACGGCATCCAAGACGGCCCAAGAGAGTCCAAGATACCTCCAAGGTCGCCCAAGAAGTCTCCAAGACGGCCCAAGACGACCCAAGCGGCCTCCAAGAGGTCCTCAAGGAGGGCCCGAAGAGGCCAAAATCATTGATTTCCCTTCGTTTTGAAAGATTTGGGCATGTCCTTCTTTCCGGTCTTCCGACGGCCACAGACGGCCCAAAAGGCCCCCAAGATCGCCCCAAGATCGCCCACGAGGCCTCTAAGATGGCCCCATGACAGCCCAAGAGGCCCCCAAGACGGCCCCAAGAGGGCCCCAAGACGGGCCAAGAGGCCTCCAAGACGGCCCAAGATGGCCTCCAAGCCGGCTAAGATGGCCCCAAGATGCCTCCAAGACGGCCCAAGATGCACCCAAGACGGCCTGAGATGGCCTCCAGATGGCCTAAGACGGCCCGAAAGGCATCCAGGAGGCCTCCAAGACGGCCCGGGAGGCCTCCAAGAGGTCCTCCAGGAGGGCCCGAAGAGGCCAAAATCAGTGATTTTCCTGGGGTGTTTGAAGGATTTTGGCATTCCATTCTTTTCGGCATTCTGACGGCTCAAGACGGCCCAAGAGGCCCCCAAGATCGCCCACGAGGCCTCCAAGATGGCCACATGACGGCCCAAGAGACCCCAAGACGGGCCCAAGCCCAAGAGGCCTCCAAGACAGCCAAAATGGCCTCCAAGACGGCTCAAGATGCACCCAAGACGGCCCAAGATGGCCTCAAGATGGCACAAGAGAGTCCAAGAGGCCCCCAAGAGGCCTCCCAGACGGCCAAACAGGCGTCCAGGAGGTCTTCCAGGAGGGCACGAAGCGGCCAAAATCATTATCCTAGGGTGTTTGAAAGATGTTGGCATGTGTTTCTTCTTGGCTTTCCGACGGCTCAAGACGGCCCAAGAAGCCCCCAAGATCGCCCAAGAGGCCTCCAAGATGGCCCCATGACGGCCCAAAAGGCCCCCAAGACGGCACAAGAGGGCCCCAAAACGGCCCAAGAGGCCTCCAAGACGCCCAAGATGGCTTCTAGGAACCCCTGATATGCCCCAAAAGGGCCCCAAGACGCCAGACAGGCCCCAAGACGGCTTCCGACGCCCTCACACCAGGGACGTCCTCCTCCTCCTCCTTCTCCTCCACCTCCTTCGCCTCCTCATCCTCCTCCTCCTCCTCCTCCTCCTCCTCCGCCTCCTCCGCCTCCTCCTCCTCCTCCTCCTCCTCCTCCTCCTCCTCCTCCTCCTCGTCCTCCTCTTCCTCCTCTTCCTCCCCCTCCTCTCCTCCTCCCCCCCTCCTCCTCCTCCTCCTCCTCCTCCGCCTCCGCCTCCTCCTCCTCGTCCCCCTCCTCCTCCTCTTCCTCCTCCTCCTCCTCCGCCTCCTCATCCTCCCCCTCCTCTTGTTGCCTCATTATCCCCCTCCTCTTCTTCTTCTTGCTCCCCCACGCGTTCCCCGAAGTCTTTCCAAACCGACTCGGGGAACCACTGGCCCGATAGCTTGGCCAAGCTTTGGCTCAGCTGTCGGCCACAGAGGCGCTTCCAAAAGGGCAGGGGGGCGGCGGTGGTTCGCCGTAGGCGTCTTAGATACTGCAACTTGCCGCTTGCTGAATGCATGTTTATGTACGCATGTGTAGATCTAAAGATGTGTGGATTGCACCACGTAGGGTGCACATCGAGAGGGCTAAGAGCCATTATGCCACAGCCAGACATGCCTACATGTTCCAGCGCATATGTAACATACACAACAATACTCGCTTGAATGCACCATATCCCTCTTACGGTGTTGTATCCCTTCCCCTTTGGCGCTCAGACTGGTGCCTTCCCTCTACTGTTTGTTTCCTGTGCAGGGCGGCAATTCGCGGCAAGCGTGGTGCACGTGGAGCTGAGAGCCAAACGCGCCATTAGACGCACCGCGGTGGCACGGCAGCGCCAGGCGGTACTCGATGAAACGAAAAAGTTGGGGTCAGGAGGACGGAGAGGAGAAGAGGAGAAGGAGGAGGAGGAGGCGAAGGAGGAGGAGGGGGAGGGGAGATCGTGGACGGGAAACATATCCGTATCAACGGCTTCGCAGGCCAGGACCCTGGGCAGCGAACCCATGATATAGCGCGTTGCGTTCGCGCACGTCCCGTGTGGATCGTATCCATGCGAACGCGTATCCACGGGGTCGCGCCTTGGAATCCAGACAGCGAAAGCGTAGAAATGGACATGTTCGCCGCTCGTGGGGAGGGAAGCGGGAGGAGGAAGGGGAAGGAACGAACAGAGAGAGAGGGAAAGACTCCCCTCCTCCAACTTCTGGGCCACCCCCTGCCATCCTCCACCCACTCCCCATTCAACCTTCACCAGCACCTCTGCCCGCCACTCATGCCGAGTTCCGCTGCAGTCTCACGTGCACTCTAGCAGATCCGTGCTCCAAGCTGAAGAGGCGAGGAACTGGAGGAGGGAAGGGGGAAGAGGACGACAACCAGAACGAAAAAGGCAAATCCTCGATTGCCATCTTGTTACTGCGTTAGGGATGCACCCTGCTCGCCACGACCCGTTTCCCCATGGTGCGTTTCTCCCCCCCCCCTCCTGCCTCCTGCCACACTCCCCCCTCCCCCTGTTCCTTCGTCCCCCCCCCCCCCCCCGCGATTCCTCTTCCTCCTTTTTCCTCCTGCCCCCATTCACTCCTCCTCCTCCTCCTCCTCCTCGGCCTTTTCCTCCTACTCCCCCTGCTCGCCCGTTTCCTCTTCCACCTCCTCTTCTCCTACTCTTCCTCCTCCTCCCCCAACTATTCCCCATCCGTTTCCCCCCTCCCCCTCCTCATCTTTCCTCCTCCTCCTCCTCATCCTCCTGCTCCTCCTCGACCTCCTCCTCCTCGCTCTCCTCTTCCCTCTCCTCCTCCCAAGCTCCCTCCCTCCCTCCCTCCTCTCCTCCTCCTCCTCCTCCTCCTCCTCCTCCTCCTCCTCCTCCTCCTCCTCTGCCTCCTCCTCCTCCTCCACCCCCTCCTCCTCCTCCTCCTCCTCGTCCTCCTCCTCCTCTTCCTCGTCCTCCTCCTCCTCCTCGTCATCCTCCTCCTCCTCCTCGTCCTCCTCCGCCTCCATTCCTTTTCCTTATACATAACTTCTCCCTGTCGCACCCCAAGGCCCGTTTTGGGGCGGGCCTGGCGTTTCGCCTGAGACATCCTCACCATGTATGACTCTGGAACTTAAAAAGTGGCAACAGTTTTAAAGATGGAGGGCAGGTGGTTTTCAAAATGTGGCTCTCGCCTTAGCGCAGCGCACATTCGTCTAAACCATTGCCAGAGTTCCACGGATTGAGGGCGAATCAACATGTGGCCCTCGCCTTAGCGCCGCGCACATTGGTTCTAAAAAATTGCAAGAGCTTCTCGGATTGAGGGTGAATCGTTTTCAGAGTATGGCTGTCGCCTTAGTGCCGCGCTCAGTCGTTTCAACCTTTGCAAGAGCTTCACGGATTGAGGGTGGTTCTTTTCCAAAATGTGGCTTTCGCCTGAGCGCCGCGCACATTCGTTTGAAAAATTAAAAGAGTTTCACGGATTCCCATGATCAACGTACCAAACATTGTGTTTTGGAAGGATTCAAGATTATGCAGGTGCAACAATTATGTTGATTCGCAAGGTTGAAGTCCCAAAAATGGCGTTCTGGCACGATTCCGGATCGTCAAGACGCAGCAGTTAGATTGATTCGTGGCATTGAATTCCCGAGGGCAGTAGTTACCTCAATGGAAATGAACCATTAGGGGCCTATGAAGAGGGAGCTTGGAGGGAGGGCGAATTCCAACATCGTTGATGACTCTTGGGTTTACAATGGTCCGCCTTCTCCTCCTCCTCCTCCTCCTCCTCCACTGAAGTAAAGAATGTGTGATTACAACGATGTGGTTTTCCTTCTCCTCCTCAGTGTTGTTGATCCGCGTCAAGCGGTGAAATTTAGTCGTGACGAGAGGCGTCGTGAACGTGCGGCTAAGCTCCTTGAGAGGGGGAGCGACGAGCCTGAGGACCCCGACTGCTAAGGTAGTGGGCCCGCTGGATGCGAGGAAATTCTTCCAAGGCCCAATCGCCCAATAGCCCTCAACCTCCTCTTCCTACTCCTCCTTGCCCCTCCACTTAGAAAGACGGCCCTGGTATGTGTAGCAATTCGAAAGACGAAACGGAGGGAGTAGTGAGAAAGATCATCACCCTCCCCTGCGGCAATGGCAGAGGCCGCCGCTGAAGAGGGTGAGTTCGAGAGGAGGGCGGGGAGGAGGAGGTGGAGAGGGATACGGAGGCAGCCGCCATGTCTCCGGTGACAGGTGGCTCTGCCCAATCTTCTGTCAGGGAGACGAAGGCACCCCTTCTAGCTGGCGTGCAGACATGCCTGCTGGAAAACGAGAGCAGCCCTGATCCTATCGCGCGATGTGCGATGCTGACGGCGATGCGAAGCCAAGGGCAGGAGAAGTGAAAAACTGCATGACGCACAAGACTTCGGAGCTCCGCACGGACTTTTCCTGGGCCGGCGCTGGACACCCCTCGCCAGCGCGCGGAGCGCGCCAGGGGCGCGGCGCTGCAGGCGCCGCCACGAAGGTCCAGCGCAGATCCGAGAAACCGGCGCGGATCTCCGAAGGGTCCTGCTCACGTGCCTGTCCCTTCTTCGAATAAGACCGTCGGACTGGGAGCGTTCTGTGGCAACTCATGGGAGCCTCCCATACCGTCCTCTTGGCTCATGCGAATCGACGCTCATCGACGCTACATCGACGCTAATCGACGCAACACCGACGCTCATCGACGCAACAACGACGCAAAATCGGCGCAACATCGGCGCTGTCGCATCGACCCCCAGACGCCAGTCGACGCTAGTCGACGCTGAAGACGGAAGCAAGCGGGTAGACGAGGCTCCCATGATCTGCTACCGACGCCTCGGCATCGCAGAACCTGCTCTGTACACGTGCTCGCTCGCCGCGAGCTGGGGCCCGCGGTGGGCGGCGCGTGCGCGACAAAAAACGGCACTTCTCCATCGGGTGCGGGTGGCCCAGAGGAGCGAGGGTGCAAGGTGAGGATCGATGCTCTTTGGCGCTCTGGGCCCTGGGCCCTCCTGAGACGGAGGATCATTAAGGGGCCCTGGGACACACAAATACATACACACAAAGAACAGGATCCCCGATATTTTCCTGTATTTTCTGGGTTTTTGTCTTCCCCCCCACTTCCCATATTTCCCCATACCTTCCTGGGTATCGACGATGAATTGTGTCTCTATGTTCTGTTCCCTCCTGAATCATGTCTCTTGTGGCTTTGGGGGCATGTGGGGGGCCCTGTGGAGGCCTCCAGGGACCGGTGGGCACCCCTCGGGATCGCTGTCTCGAGGGAGGGGGGGACGACGACGCCAGCGCCGACGACGTCTTGATGATGGCAGGACCCCTGGACACG